CACAAAAGGACAGTAAAGGCTGGATGGAGGTAGGGCTAGGACCAGAAAGAGTTTCCAATGCAAAGCTGAGCAGACACATCAGAATTATAGCAAAATGGAAATCATGGGAGCTTCAGCAACTTTAGGAAAAATTTGATTCATTCCAATCTGAGGAGAAAAAAATAATTATAAACAGTTTAAGTTTAATGAGTAAGATACTCCACATTTTCCTCTTATGTACTTATCCTACTCAAATGTAATGTGTAAGGTACAATGAGAGACCAATGTCTAAATTACTCATTCTGCTTAAATATTGTCTTTAACACGTGTATTTAATTTTTGAGAGCTATCTAATTGCATAAGGCAATAGTAGGTGTCCATGTCTACTGCTACAGCTAAGCATGGGCTCTAGGCCACTGGTGGATGTCAGTCACACACACCAGCAAGTGTCAGGCCTTATGTTGCTGTGAGAGGAACAATGTGAACAAGGCGTGGAGAGGAGGCAGAGGGATTGTTTTCAGGAGACTGTGGCAGGCACAGCAGTTAGGATACAAATCCGCTCTGGCTGCTCATCCTCGGGCAGCTTTGGCTACCCTAATGAAAGTAACAGCTTCCAAAGTGTGAGTCTTACACATCCAAACCCACCACAGTGAGAACAGATGTCACAAAAATAAGGAACTATTTTTAAAACCTGTGCAGTTTTTTTCAAATGACTCATCATGGAGCTGACAGTTGAGTCTCTGCATCCCAGTTTGGAATATCAGGGAGGAATTAGCTTTCCGTGTGGGGTGATGAAACGTTTTGGAAATAGGTAGTGGGGGTAGTTGCACAACATGGCGAAAGTAATTAATGCCATTGAAATGTACTCTTTAAAATGCTTAGAATGGCAAATGCTATGTATATTTTTCCACGATAAAAAAAAGTTCAGATGATGATGGTAGAGGGGGGTATTTTTAATGTCCTAGTTGAGTACCTTATTCAGCCATATTATATTCCCCAATTTTTTGTTTTTCCTTTTTACATTTTATTGGACTAGGAAGTCCAAAAGTCTGTAGACTACTTCATCTATACACCAGTGAGAAAGTAATCAACCAAGATGGGTTATTTGCAAATCCATAATTTATTTTGAAAAGAAAACTTTGATCTTTAGCACCTTCTCCTCTTTCTGTTACCTTTGCATTTTTTTGGCAAGGAATGGCAAAAAAATATTATATTTTTAATAAAACTAAGAACAATAAATAGCCCAATACCATATTTCTAAATTGTTTTTCTGCAACTAATTTTTTTCTATTGTTTGAAAGACTTCACCTAAATTATAAAGCAATACAAAGATCAGTCCTTTGGTCATGCCACTGCTTTTATAATTTGGTGAAACTGAACAGTGTCCTCTGGATTTCACAAAATTTGTAAAATAATAACGAGGTCCTGCTGTTTCCCCTGGAGACAACTATGGTCTCTGAAGGGCATCAAAATTTCAAGTCAGTGTCATTGAAACTCACTAATAGAAATAGGAAACTTATGTAATTTACAAATTGAACTTAAGAAAAGTTGAAACCCCCCAAATAAGCACATGTAAGCTTATATAAATGAAAACAAGCAATACTCATATATATATATAAACTAGTTTATATAAATGAAAACAAGCAATACTCATTCTGGTTATCAAAGTTTATTTTTATCTTTTACATTATATTTGCTTTGCAACTGCATGTTGATCAAACAGTTTTGATTTAAACATAAATTTAAGGGTCCAGGTTTTTGCATCCAATGATCAGATTCAAGACTTCCTCTAGGCAAGACAGCGCAGTTTGTCATCAGCACTCAGTCCCCTTCCTGCCCTTTGTGCCTTCCCTCTTCCTCTCCAGTTTAATGTGTTTCCTGGCTGATCACTATCATGACAGCTTACCATAGCAAGTCTGAAAGAATCTTAATCTCAATGTCCTCATGACAGATCTGTCACTCAAATAGCTAAATCCTGGTAGAGCCTGCAATGGAACCCAGAGCTCCTGACTCACTGGCCAGTGGTCATGCCTACATCTCACCTGTTCTGCAACAGGCCACTTCCCCTCCACCTTCAATGCTCTACAATTTGCACTGTGGATCTTCTAAGAACAAGCAAACTAATGAAATATGATATTCTCAACAGGTCAAGTCAGGAGTTTAGGTTAATGAACACGGCTCTCAGTCACTCAATGTGTTACAGTTTACACATCTTTCTTAGGGTTCTTTGAATTTCAGTCAGAGATTTCTGGCATCTGTTACCTCAACACCTAGCCCCCCAAAAGATAAAAATAAAAATGGTAGAAATTTGTACACTCTGGCTGATTAGAAACATTGTTTTGTGAGAAGCCAGTGGATTATTGGTATCTGCTCAGTTCTCAATATTATAGCACAAAGTCACCATCTACTCACAATGCTGGAGTAAAATAAACAGTGCCTAAAAAAAATCAGAAGCTTATACTTCTAAAATACTACAAGATGATTTACAGTTAACCACAGAAAAAAATTAGAAGTCTCAGTCCTTTGCACGAGAGTTTTGATCTTTGCTTTAACTCTTTAATTTATAAAACACTCAGATCTTGTATTCATTCTGGAACACCTTATGATTATGCTAAACCACACAATAATTTCCAAGTTTCCTGTATAATGGAGGTGGTATTTTGTATATTTTTTACTCCATATGGATCAAAAATGTATAAGTAAATGACAATATAGGTTAATATATGCCAAAATTATTATCAATATCAGGCAGTGTCATACTTGAGAAATATTGTGGAAAGTGTATGCAGTAGGAACAGTTAGCAGTGAGTAGACACTTACTTTGGGTGAGCCATTATTTTAAGTGCTTTATGAGTCTACTCTAGTAGATATTACTACCCTAATTCACATACAATAAAATTGGGATTTAGATGTTGCAGAACGTGCTCAAGGCTACACACCCAGTAAATTAAGGAGATGAAGCTACAACAAGGTCTTTATCACATGAAAGCCCTGTGCCTAACTACTGTAATACCCCTATTCCAGTGCATTTCGGCATTAGTTTCGACTTTACAAAGCTTAAAAGAATCATGAAACTGCAACCTCTTTTTTAAAATATATTTTTATTGAGGCAGGGAGAGGGAGAGAGAGAAAACATCGATGAGAGAAACATAGATCTGCTCCGATCCAGAATTGAACCAGTGACCTCTCAGTGCACAGAAGGATGTTCAATCAACCTCTTGTAGCTGTGTGTCACGTCTAAATTCAAGTCCCTGCAGGAGAAGGCCCAACCCCCAAGTGTCCTCCCACGGGGCTGGAGAGATGTTCCTTGTGGCCCTCAGACATAACTAAGCAAACTTAGGCAACAGCTTTTTTCCTCCTCCCAGAAAGAAGACATTAGAGAGATTGAGGTAGAACTTGGATGCAGTCATTGGGAATATTGTAGGGGAAAATTACATGTAGGATAGAGTGGGAGTTATCTACTTTTCATCTCTTCTAATTCCATGGTCCTAAAATAAGAAGATAAAAAATAGAATCTAAAGGAAATGCTTAATGATCTGGACTCATTTTAATTAAGCAATTGTCCTCTCTCCTCTTTTTTTTTTAATCTATTCAACATGGGATTATTAATGGCTTTGTTAAACTTTTCAGTTTCTGAGGATTGGGGCTGATTTATACATGAAATTATGTTTGTTTTTCAATATTACATAATTCTGTTTGCTATATGATAAAAATAAAACCATTGTATCTATTTTTGTACACTTTTATATTTTAAAATCTGAATCCTAGGTATGCCATTGAATACGTTTTGAGATCTGCCTGGAGATGAGTGGCTACTCTTCATGGTATCTTGTGTATCTTAAATGATTCATGGCCAAAAGTTACTCAGTACCTACCTGCCTAAGGCAGGAAGGGCTACATGAAAGGCAGTCTTGGCAGCCTTTGAAAGCTGTGCACAGATGAGAAGCTTTGTGCTTCCAGGAGTTCTTATACCACTTTCTCATTTTCAAATTTTGCACATCCTCAAGAGACCTTGTCAAGGTCAGAAGCACAATGAGCTAACCAGGGGAAACCCCAGAGAAAGCCAAGATCTGAAAATAACAGCAGGTTCTCTAGCGAACCGCAGCCCTGCTGACTTGGCAAGTTTAGAGCACTGCAGTACTCTCTGGAAGGCAATAAAGTCCTTGGAGGAGGGACGAGGAAAGCAAAAGGGCAAGGAAATGAAAGGTGGATGTGATAAGATAACTGTTAAATAAGAAAGAGCAGGAAACAGAGAGGGAGTAGAAGGAGCTTTAGGGGAATAAAGAAGTAATTATTTGGTTAATCAGAAGATAAGTATAACTTTGGATACACTTTTAACATTCAAGTTTTGAGGAATATATTTCAAAATCTGCAGGTTTTATAAGGCCTTTGCTAAAAATACCTTTTGTGAAAATAAAATATGTACATGCTGCTTAAAATGCTCCAGAATGACATTTTAATCACAGGTATATATTTGAATAGAGGCCATGTGTGAGGCTATTCTAAGTTATTTGGCCAGAAGTATAATAAAAGTTAATCATGTTGTTTTATACTTTTTTTCATAAATACAATACAGATTTATTGTATTAGAAAGCTCACCTAGGAAGAGAAAAGTTTGCCTACAAAATTTTTGGTTTATATTGATGAAATAGCCATGGTACTTGGTCATTTCTCTTCATCTTGTTTCTACATTTTTATATTTAGATGTAAAAAATAGAATTTATTATGAAATCACCAAACTTCAGATGACTATGGAGCTTTATACCCAATATTTCTTAGTGATTACAGTGCACATTTTTCCTTTTTTCAATGGTTTACTAGTAAAAGACATAGCTACTTTATGCCCTCTAAGTATCAGAGGTATCTTTCTAGGTGGCTCAGAGACTACTGTTCAACAATGCAAAGAAGCTTATCACCCAATGTTGCTGTTCATTGGATACCCTGGATTGGTAGCATATTTCATTTCATAAAAATGTCTACACTCATCTTAATTGTTCTTTTCTTTCTTTTTTTAATTACAGCAGAAAATGGCCCCCATCTACTTGTGGAAGCAGAACAAGCCAAGGTGTTCTCACACAGAGGTGGCAATGTTACACTGCCATGTAAATTTTTTCGAGACCCTACGGCATTTGGCTCAGGAACCCACAAAATCCGAATTAAGTGGACCAAGCTAACTTCAGATTACCTCAAGGAAGTGGACGTTTTTGTTTCCATGGGATACCACAAGAAAGCCTATGGAGGCTACCAGGGGAGAGTGTTTCTGAAAGGAGGCAGTGATAATGATGCTTCCCTGGTGATCACAGACCTCACCCTGGAGGATTATGGGAAATATAAGTGTGAGGTGATTGAAGGATTAGAAGATGATACTGCTGTGGTATCATTAGATTTACAAGGTCAGTATCTATAAATCATGTCCAACTTAGAAACTATAATTAGTCATTACTCTTTGTTTTTCATGACCAGTGGCTACCATAATGATGATGTGAGAAACCGAAAGTCCATTCATAGCATATTTTTCAATTCTTTTGCATTTTGTAGTCTGTCTATGATTCCAACTTTCATATTTGAAGGGTACACACAGTGCTTATGTGCAAAATTGAAGACATTTGCACATAGGAGAAATGTGCAGTGTAACTGAATTGATAATATTCAGAAACTGCTTTATGCTATTCAAAATTTAAATCTCATTACATAATTATTAAGAAGTTCAGATTTGATACTTTTTTATTATACTTCTAAAATTATCTTAGTTTCAAAATAATGACCAGTTTTGTGAAGGACATCTACTAACTGAAGTACATGCAATTGTATTCTGTAAAGTAACTGTGAAAACTTAAATTTAACAATAGGTAAAATTTTATACATATATATATATATATATATACATATATATATATATATATATATATATATTACATTCAGTAGATTCAAACACAAAAATGTATATAAAGCTAAATAATAAAACGTGTCCTTGTCCTCCTGTGTCCCCTCTGCCCAAAGCTCACACACACTCTAAATGCCCCACCAGCAGGGAAACTCTTCTGAGTAGTTTCTCACTTATCTCAGAACTTCTTTTATTCATGAATTCGAGTTTCTTTGCCCTGGAGGATACATTTCGGCTGCACTAATAGAATAACCTCTTTCTGTGCACATCAGCTGTAAGTGTGTGCTTGTTAGGAGCTCCTTTCACAGCCTAGGATGGATCTGTGCTTTTGGGAACGTATGTGTTTGGTCCAGTAGCACATCATGGAAAATCTAACCTCCGAAGCCCTCAGGACCCCATCACCTGTATGGAGAACTATTAGCTTTACTTATCTAATAAATTACACAATGGAGTAAAGTGCATTTTTATGATCTTCTCGTCTCTCTTAGTTGTAGTTCTTGGCTCCTGATCAAAAGCCACCTTGTGCTTTCAGTTTTTATTAATTCAAATTAATATCCATGAACATTGGTGAAATTGAGCCCAAATACACAAAAATGTAATCTGAGGACTTTCAGAAATAGAAAAATAATTTTACATAGTACACAGCACTGCCAGGCACTATGAGAGGCACAGAGGAAGGTAAAACTATGCTGCATGGTCTCTGCCTTTTTATTACTAAATATATTTACTTTACGGAGTTATTGCAATTTACTTTAGTTTCTACATGTACCATGGTATGAAAACTTTCATATGTCTAACAAATTGATATTTGCCAACAGTTAGGATGAATTGAACTGTGCAATTGTAAATCTTAAAGAATGTGTTTTCAAAACATATTTGGACTGATGAAACTACTCACATCATTTGATATTATTCATTTCCATGTGATGTATCATTCTTATTAATCCCTTTTGTAGTGATGCATACCACACCTCTATGGAAAAGTAAAGAGCTTCTCATTATATCTTGACATATAAGTAAAAAAATCATTATACTTGGAAAATAGGTATACACCCTTCTTCATACCCATGAAAGTTTAACTTTTTATAAGTGCTGGATAAAAACAATCACCATTTGCTCCATAATTCAGCTGTAGGAATTGCACATTTTCCCAGAGTCAAGAAGGTTTCTGTAATCATAGTCTTAGATGTTGAAATCTTAACAAGCTGGAAGTAAAATAGGTAAATAAATAAATGCTAACAAACATGTAGTTCAGAAATGCCCCGGCTTGTAAGAAACATCTGAGTGTTTAAATGTATGCACTAAATGTGTACAATACACTGAAGCTTTTAAAGTCTTGGCCGAGTAAAACATAGACAGTAACTTTGATGTACTAGAAATGTGTTATTTCCAGCATCATCAAACATTAACTATAATGTATGTATATCTTTTAAGTTAATAAAACAGTAAGTTGATCATTTATTCTTATAATTGAAAAATAGTAAAATTTTAAGATAGAGTTTCATTTTTACTTTAAGAAATGCTTGCTTGAAATTATGTTAAATTTGAAAGAAACTCAAAGATATGTTACACTGGATTTAGAACTGAATCAATATTTTATCAGTAACATTCAGTGATTAATCAAGGACTAATTACTAAAGAAAAATTTTTTCCTAACACCCATGAAAATCCCTAAATATACTACAATAAATTTAAACCCAAAATATTGTCATGGTTTTTTAAATTATTTTAAATTAAAATACTCTACATTCTCCACTGTTACCATCTTGAGCCATATGAGAAATGGAATTCAAACCATATAATTTCTTCCTTCCTCCACATTGAAAGACTGAGATTTTCTCTCACTTGATGTTCAGCTGCTAAAGAAATCTCTACTGGATAAATTAGGTATTTTTATAGCAGCATTCCTGGGGCTGCTGAGGAAAGAAGAGATAAGGCACAAGGGGACAGGGAGCACTGTGGCCGATCCCATAGGGAGCTAATTAGGTTCTTAGCCAGATGCCTGGGCATGGCTCTTCTTAGGTAGAGCCACCTCCAGCCTTCCCTTCCATCATCACTGCAGGGGGCAGTGGCAACCTAGAGAGCCTTTTCCTCCTTCATTTTGGCTCTGGTTCAGCTTACAGATCCCTCAGCCAAGAACCTGAGAAGGCAGGATGAGATCGGGAAGCCTTCCTGGATCTTTGCCTGCAGTGGACAGTGCCAGCTGGACTGCCCCTGAGGGACAAACGTGCCCTGCAGAACCCTTCGGCGGTCGCGACTTGATCCAGGCTATTGAAATCTCTGTAGAGTCTTCCAGGACAACTTATAAAAGAAAACATTTCCTCTGTACTGGTTACACTCTTAGTGAATTGTACATTCATCTTCAGTAGGGTCTGCGGTCTCATAAAAAATAGCTCATGTGATATAATTCACCAAATTACTGTCAGTGGGACAATGTTTTATATTCCACATGGTAAAATATTAATTATTTCTAATTACATTCTAAAAAGCCAAGGCAAGGACTTGAACAATAGCACTGAATTATCTTTTAGCAACTATGGGGGAGAGATTTTGATGCAGTGGTCCTTCTTAAAGTCCAGCAAATGGTACAACTTTGCTTTCTTATGTAATCCGTGGCTTTTGAAGTAATTGTGCAGCAAGCTGTAAGACAGCTCCATCACTTCTCATGATTATTTGACTGAAAAGAATGCTTTTGGAAAACCATTGTATCTTCCCAGGCAAAGCCAAGTGCCAAGTCACACCATTTACATTTGCTAAAGGTTTTGCCCTTTAAAGTATTTAACTTAATTCTTTGGCATTAACTGAATCAACAGATGTCTATTCTGTACCTACCTTGTAGAGGACGGGGGCAGAGGGGGGGGGAGATGAAGGGCTATAGTAAAAATTGAAACAAATAAGAGAGCTATGATGTTTTTTATGGAGGTGTTTTTCCTAGTAAAGAACTGCTTTATTAAGATGAAATAAGACTTTAATTAGATTTTTGTTAGATATGCAAAGGATTTCACTTTCGGGTTTCTCCAAATCAGAAGCCTTCTAAGTGAAAGTTACTTATCTGCAAGTTTTTAGGAGCATGTGTAAAACAAATTATATATTAGTATCTACATTTGAATAATTGATCTTTGTTTTTGCACTTAAAATACAATATTAAATGAATTAGTAATTATATAAGAATAATTACTAAGAAAAAAACATTGTGAATTTTGACATATACCTTCTCTTTCAGCACTGTTTCTACATCCCCTACCATGCTTAGTATTCAATATTGATTTTTTTCCCAGACAAAGGGAGCTCAGGAATACACTTTTAGGCTTAGTAACCAGTAGCAGATGTTAAATTCTCAAGGAGAGCTATTTGGAAAATATAATCTGCAGGTGAATCATTTCAGAAAGAAGAATTTCAAGGCTTGAGTTGAACTCTTAGCAAAAGAGATAAATCATTGAAGTTATCAAACCAAATAGCACACTGGGACATGCTTAGAGCTGAGAGCTGGTGCTTCATCTGATGGAGATTCTATTATGTTTTGTTTTGTTTCTGTTTTTGTTTTGCCAATAAAGTGTGATTTGCCTATACCTGTTACTCTGGTGCCACTAATAACCCCATGCTTTCTCCTTTGGACAGGTGTGGTATTCCCTTACTTTCCACGACTGGGGCGCTATAATCTCAATTTTCATGAGGCACAGCAGGCTTGTCTGGACCAGGATGCCGTGATTGCCTCCTTCGACCAGCTGTATGATGCCTGGCGGGGTGGGCTGGACTGGTGCAACGCTGGCTGGCTCAGCGATGGCTCAGTGCAATACCCCATCACCAAGCCCAGGGAGCCCTGCGGAGGCCAGAACACTGTGCCCGGTGTCAGGAACTACGGGTTTTGGGATAAAGATAAAAGCAGATATGATGTGTTCTGCTTTACATCCAACTTCAATGGTAAGATATTAACTGTACTGCCTTCTTCCCTATACCATAGACTAATAGGTTCTATGACGCTACACTTGACTTTCAATCTTATCTACTTAAAAAGATAAAAGCTTTGAAGTATTGCTCCAGTTTGAAAAGATATAAAAAGTTCTTTGATGTCCTAATTTTTTTTTTTAATCCACAGAAGTCAAGCAAAAGTGTAGACTTCCACTATTCTTGGGTTTTATTGGGTCTGATTGTTACTATGAAATAGTTTAAGCTATGATGTTGTCTGTGGTCTGTTTCTTATTGCAAGGATGCTGCTGCTACCATGTGCCCTCCCTAGGATATAGCTCTCCAGGTTGAAGTAAGGGTGGCTTCTGTGTCATATTCTCCTTCACTAACTTACAATGTCAGGATCTTCATAAATGATCAGCAAAGCTCAGGATGAAGAGAAGTTTGCAAAAAGAATAAATAGAAATAACATTGCCGGTGACAGCAGAAGAAAAGAGATCCAGGTTGCTTCCATGTTGATGACTGATTCTTTGCCTTCAACATCACTCCCAGCCCTACCTTCTCCATCTAGACCCAGACACATAATGTGGGGATGAAAATGTTGGTTCCTTGATCAAAAATCATTGAGAATTTTAAGATGGTGACAGGAAGGCAGTAAGCCAATCATGAGGCCATGTGCCACTGCACAGGCCACACACCCATGAAGTAAACTCTGACCCCTTCATTGGTATATAAGTTCCGTGGTGACATGCTTTGGAAAAAATTGCAAGGAATCAGGGATCAACAAACTTTCTGTATGGGGCCAGATAGTAAATATTTTTTGCTTTGTGGGTCATATGGCCACTTTTTCAACTACTCAATCAATGTAGCTTTGTATATAGTAACACAAAAGCAGCCGTAGACAATATTAAATGGAGGGGTGTGGTTATGTTCTAATGAAACCTCATTTGACTGCTGTTGTAGCTTGCTGACCTCTGGTGTAGATGATAAAACTAATGCTAGTAGCTAATGTTCCAGCGGCCTCCACTCTTTTCAGAACCACATCATCTTAGTCTAGAAAGAATTGGCAAGCATTGACTTACACTTCAATAATCTATGTTTAATGAGGGGTAGGGAGATATTACATTACAATGTGTAATCAGATAAGAGAGTGATTATATTCTACCGGAAATGAAGTCTGAGAAAATCTTCAGTTGGCATATGTCACTTCAGTCAGTTGATGTCATATTTTATGTATTTTATACATATTGAAGGAATCTCAGTAATTAACACTATCCAATAAGTGGGTGAGACTAACTTGCTCTTTCTTGTGAAATTAAAAAACAAAAACCAAAAACACTTAGGTATCAGGCTCCCACAGAATAAAGTTGGAAAAAATAAATAAATGCATCCTCTGCTAGGGAGTGAACAGACTAGGTCCACAGTCTGAGCCAGTATTATTTATGGCAAGTGACTTCCTGTATTTTTTTTTTTTTGCATTTTCATACTGTAGTCTTTGAAGAAGAAGAATGTCTTATTGATACCTGTAATGAAAAGGACTTGAGGGCTTTGATTTTTTTTAAATAGACTTTTATGTCAGGAATGTTTTTTGATCCTTTCACATTCAAATGTTGCCTCTCCAGAAACTTGTGCTGGGGCTCAGTCCCGCCACAGCCAGAATTTCAATAGCCCTTGCTTTGAGCATGGACTTCTGTCCTCCCTAGCGCCACAGAAGGGCCTTTTAGTCACTAATTAGCGAACAGAAACTGCATCTGCCACTTCCCTTTTCCTTTTCAAAGCTATAAAAGGGCACGTCTGAACATGGATTAAGGGGCAAAGAAAAATCAACTGAGATCCCAGGTTCCAAAACCTCTACAGACATTGCTCCATACCCCACTTCACTGGAAACCACGTCTGTTGGGGCTCCTTCCCTCCCTGCGTGGCTCAGTGGCACACGGGCCCATTGACCTCTCTCCTCCTCTCCGCAGGCCGCTTTTACTACCTGATCCACCCCACCAAGCTGACCTACGACGAAGCGGTGCAAGCTTGTCTCAACGATGGTGCTCGGATTGCCAAAGTGGGCCAGATATTCGCTGCCTGGAAGCTCCTGGGATATGACCGCTGCGATGCGGGCTGGTTGGAGGATGGCAGTGTCCGCTACCCTATCTCTCGGCCACGAAGGCGCTGCAGTCCTACCGAGGCCGCGGTGCGCTTCGCCGGCTTCCCAGATAAAAAGCATAAGCTGTACGGTGTCTACTGCTTCAGAGCATACAACTGAGCGTGCCCTGGAGCACGTCGGGTTTAGAGTCATTCAGAACATGTGAAAGGTGTTTTGTTTTTTTTCCGTATGAACTCATGCAAGTTACCAAAACTGTGATAACCCTTTTTTTACTTACTGTAAAGAGTCATTTTCATAAAGACCAATTCATTAATTTGTTTTTGTAAAGCTATCATTCAATATATATTATAAATTAATATAATTTTAAGGAAAGTCCTACATGAGGAGGCTTTTGAGCCAAACCCTTTAGGCTATATCATCCCACGGAAGCATCCTTTCATGGGCGGGGCATGCAGTAATTTGAGGATTGCTAGGGTTAAGTTAAGGAAAGGAAAGTTACCCGGAGCAGCAGCTTCCACAAGCACAAATTTTACACATTTGTACGATTTTGAAATGCACAAGAAACAAGTTAGAGCAGCAGATTTGACATAAGGCTTCTTTACATCAACTGAGATTCTGAGAGGTGGCACAAAACTCAGTCTCACAGGGGAATAATCTACACTTTTCTAAAAGTTCCTATTGCAAGTCTCCAGTAGAATATTTTATTCTTCAAACATCCTGCCTTTTGACCAAAAAATAAAAAAAAAGAAGAAGAAGAATTCATATGGACTCCAATGCATAGTAAAAAGCACAGTTAAAATTCCTTAATAACCCCATTTCTATGAAGTATGAAATTTAAATAAGCAGATAATATTTAACCCATGAGAGACTCTACCTTCTTCTAATTAAAATTACACACACCTAAGAAGAATTGCGTTATCTTTTGAGTAGCTTTACTGAGTTACATTTAAATTCTAAGGGTCGTTGGCTAAGCAGCATTTCGCATCTACTCAGGGCAGTTATATAGATAAACTGCTGGACAGAAAAATTGTAAAATTTAGCAGCTTGATTTTATGTTAGCCTATGAAATGTTATTGTCCTATAAAAATAACTTTAAACTATTTAATATTTTCTTCTTATTTACATTACATTAAAACATTTAACTCATAAAAGGAATGAATAACTGCACACTTTCCTAACCAAGAAATAAGGACCCAACTTTCAAAATTCTTTTCTTTTATTATTATTTGTATGTACATTAGAAAGCCCAACTGGTGCCTGTGGTTGGGGGGAAAATGTCAACCCAGTAGTTCTAAGCCTTCCTCCCTAAGAAAATGTGGTCCATGATATCACTTTCCCTGCTGGTCATCATTAGGTGTAAATGAAACACTGAACCTGTCATCATAGAGTTTACACTAAAACCATCAGGGCTGTAAGGGAAAAGGTAAGGCCAGCTTCAGAAAAACAACTTTTGCATTAGCAGCTCCAATCTTAAATAAAGCTCTGTTTTCCTATATTTTTATGACTGTTGAGACCCCACAGGGACCAATATTTGTATTCAAATTACATTTTATGGTTTCCCATTGTTTCACAATGAGTTCTAATAAATGGGATTTAGTATCATAACCCAAGTATGACATAGCTGGTGTGCTTTCATGAATGTTTTTATGTAGATTTTCTTCCCGTGAACATGAGTTAATAAATCTGTTTCCTGAATTGATTGTGGTTGCATTTAAAGCTCTGTAATAATTCTAATAAATGTACTCTCTAAATGTAGAGTTACATGTGTGGAAGATACAGAACAATTGGAAGTCAATAAAACCATAACTATACTTACATTATCTAGATAAAATGTTGTACATAAAAGTAAATCACTTCTTTTATCAAAAGCATAGCTGGAAATTTTCAGATGCTTTAATATTAAAAGATGACAGTATATGCATGCTCATTTTTACATTAGGTTGGATATGCAAATTGTGCAAAAATTACAAATATAAATCCAAAGAGTTTGTGAGGTTTAACTCAAACATTGCTGATATAAATAGAACTTGAACTTTTAAATTAAAAATATCTGAATGGTCTAAGATGAATATGTTATTTAAAGATGGGACTATCTCCAAAAGAGTGATTCTAACACCTCAACTATGTGGGTGAGCTCACTGGAGGAAGCCCATACTTGAATGATTATTACCCATGTTATAAGATTTTTATTGGAAATGCAAGTAAGAACAAATTTATATTGAAGAAGATATATAATGTTCAGCTAATTGCTACAAAGCTCTACCTTTATAATGTTAAGCATAGTAGCTACCATTTCTTAACTTTTGAATACTTACTAGTATAGGAACTGGTGCTGATCAAAAACTCTGGACTGACTTTTAGCTGATTAAAATCTAAATTGATAGCACACCATTTTTCTAAGCTTGTAAAAAAAATAAATACTGCCGGGCAGAATTTTTATCTTCTGATTTCTCCTAAAGGATGAGGATCTCCTTACCCTTTTGGACTTCTACTTGAATAGTTCTTGGTTTTTTTTTTAATGTTATCATTTTCCATTTTTCCACCAAATGTCTATTTTCCTACTTCATTCCCCAATATATCACTGAGAATATTGAAAAAAAAAAGGTTAACCTAATACCTTTCTGAACTGGAAGTCAGTACAACATTGACTAATTCAGAAATTGCTCCTCAGACTTGGGTTCCAAGGCTATCAGAGAAATAAGATGGGACTCACGGTTAGAAAATCTTGCTTGGATCATTTTGTCCATAATTCACACGTGTAGCCCATATAAGCAACAAAGTTTATCTGCAAGTTTCACTGGGAGACCTACATTTGAAAACCAAACAATAAGGATTCATATAAAAAGACAATAGGAATGGAAGCAAGTTAATTACATTAACACTGGAAGCCATCTTTTAATGACTGCTGCCAGATTTTAGCACAGTAATTTTTAGTCAAATATGGTATTTGTAAATTTAAACTTTTTCGCATAGGAAGGGGGCCGGTACCTGGTAAAGTTTTATTTTATGCAATAATGTAGTCGCTTATTATTTTGGCAATTGAAAGTAGACTCAAAGGAGATTCCAATTTGGTTGCTGGCAGCCATACTGGGTTTCTGGATTCAGTGCTCCAAAGAATATGCTGGTCTTATGGAGTAGCTGACCACTAGGAGGGGAGGATTAAAAGGGAATTACTATCAGTTCTCGGCATAGAATGCATCAAGAATGATCAATGGATAACTGACAGTTTTGTTGAGAAGTTAACTGTATCACAGCTCACTACTGCCAGAGCAGCAATGATGTACAACAAGAGAAATAAAAAATACAAAAAGTCAGTAAGGCACCTGATTAAAGAAAATCAGTATTTAAAGGCATTTAATACCTACTGAGTACAAATCGGAGGAAAAGAACCAATCTGTATTATAAAAATAATGTTTTCATTTTCTGTAAGATATAATGAACTGGTAAACAAACATTAAAAGACAATTTTGTGTTAATGCAGTATCTTTTGATTCTTCTGAGTTGTATAACCTTAGCTATTATTCTTTGTGTCAAACTCTATAAATACATTATTTTAAAGAAGACATCTACCCATTTTTTTTGTAATACATTTGAGTTCAAATTGTAAACACATAGCAATTTCCATTTCCTGGGATTTTTGCAATGTTAAGAAAAAAAAGGAGTATATTTATGGTGTTGCTAAATCAACAGTAGTACTATCCCAGAATCTAATGGCTTTTTTCCTCTCTTTTTATATGATGCAAAGTATAATTTATTTTGCTCATTGGTTAGCAATTCCATAAATCTGTTGTGTTGGTGATTAGATTAAAATACTTGAGATACTTTATGACTTCAATTATTAGTTCTGAGTTAAAAGATCTCTGTATATATAATAAATTTCTTCCACTCCAATAACAAGGGGCATATTTTTTTTAATATTTCCATTCCTTTCCTGAATTTTCAGTGTGGAAAGTTGTTTTTGGATTTTCTTAGTATGTAGAAATGGATTATTGGGTGCAAGAGTCTATTGGTGATACAATGACTTGAACACAAACACATCCAAAACATTTTGAGTCATTGATATTAAAACAAAAAGTGCACTTAAATTTGTTCCCATTCTAATTTGGAATACATTGAAAAACCTTGGAGAAGAAAGTTCAAGAAGATGAAATTAAACTTCTTTTAGTGTTTAAATTCTAACACAGATGAAGTATATAATTTTTACTTTGCAAGCAAATTTCATGTATTGCTATAACCTGATCATATACAAAACCCACTGGGTACTAGTACTGAAGAGTCCTATGGAGTTTCATCATGCTTAAATAAAAACAAGTTAAACTGTTCAGATGTAATGTCTTTAGTTCCCAACCAAGTGACAAAGCTTAATACTAAGACTATTCTTGAGTAAAAAGGACCCTGTCCAGGAGAGTCAGTTATGCCAGGAAAATAATAAAAGCAAAAGATTATTGGAGAATATGAGGGAGACGTGGATGAACTAACGATAAACTAACACTGAAAGTGTAAGAAAAGCATCTTCCCTTTCCTGTCTTGATTTCTTGGGCTGTCCACTTAGGATTATTTAGAGACACAACTTAAAATGCGTCTGTAGTCTTTGCTTCTCAGTTGGTGATAGATATATCAGGACATTGACAGCAGACTACATCCCCACTCTTAGGGAGGAAATTCACTACACACATTTTCTTTGTCCTTAGAGAAGCAAACAAAACTTATTTATTTTCTCTGTATTTCTTTCAGGCCAATAAAATCTTGTCACCTTCATAGCCACTCATCATTTGAAACAAGTTGGGTCAGCCCAGAGGGTGATTCCAGGCCTTTCTTGAAATCAACCAATTTCCTTCTTAGCTTATCTCTGACCATTGGGGCTGTGCAGCATCACCTGCCTCAGCTATTAAGAGGTGGCTCTTTCATTCAGTTGGTACCTGACCGCAGCTTGAGCTCTGTTTATTAGGGGAGTCCTCCCCAGATGGAGAGAAAGCACAGATTCTCCATTATCTAACAATGAAACTATTGGCTTTGTCAACAAATGTAAGATGGTGATAGAATTCTAAGAATATTTTATTCCCATATTTTTCTTTCTAAGGAAGGGCTCAATTGCCAGTCTTCATCCTGTTTGAAATACATTTTGTTTTGTTCTTATGTTTCCCCCATTGATTTTCATCAAGGTAAACTCTGCCTTCCAAAACTCATCTATAATAATAACATGCTAATTAGACCGGACGTCCTTCCAGAAGAAGCCAGGGCTGCGAGGGCCAGCTGGGGCTGCGCGGGGCTGTGAGGGTCTGTGAGGGCCAAAAGAGGCAGCCAGGGCTGCAAAGGCTGAGCCCCTTGTATGAATTTCATGCATCGGGCCTCTAGTCTATATATATAAAAGGCTAATATGCTAAGTGTCCATCCGGGTAATGATGTCACATCACGATTCCTGGCTTCCTCTCCCTAGCAACTAGCCTCCTTGGAGTTTCTTCAGCCCAGGAACACTACTTGCTTTATAGCCAAACCTGAGGGGTACCAGGTTTGATTCCAGTCAAGGACACATGCCCTGTTTGCAGGCTTGATCCCCAGTTCAAGATGTGCAGGAGGCAGCTGATCAGTGATTCTCTCTCATCATTGATGTTTCTCTTTCTCTCTCTCCCTTCCACTCTGAAATCAATAAAAATATATAAAAAACAAAAACAACCTTTAAAAAATAATAAAAAGAGTGCAACCAAGACATAAAGAATTTTTAAACCTCTC